AAGAGAGACAAACATCTGTTTGGACTGCAGTTCTTGGGAACATCCAGTAATATTTTAGCAGAGCAGTATCAATATAACAATAATGCTTAAGGTTACACAACTTTACTCAACACAAATAACTTTATCACATATTTAACACCAAGAATTTCTACAACATGTGGGCACATTGCATAAGTCTCAGAGGATCTACTGTAGCAATCAGCCACATTTTGCAACTATTAAGTCAGTATTTTTTTAAAAGCAAGCATATTCATGCAACATTATCTTTTGTCAGTTATAAGGGGACATATTGCAGGTATTAATTGTACTTTAAGGAAAAGATAACACAATAGCAACATTCATAAAACAGACATTTCTGAACAAATGTTCAGAAATTGCAGCCTACAGCCTTTTTATAACAAAGGAAAAAAAACACAAACCAACTACACATCTTAATTAACAGTGAAATTATTTTTTTAATCTTGAACCACCAGTGAAATGAAACCACTTCATACAGATGGTATGAAAATTACAGCTTAAAGGGGAACTATGATCTTCCTCTTTCCACATTTAACAAAACTGCATAAAAATATTCATCTATAATACTATATTAAAATGATGGGTGGAGGCTTAGAATTTACTGATGTATGTATTGATGTGTTAATGCTGCAGTTCTTTATCTACTACATAATTGGTTTACATATGCAATTTGCAACTCATCAACTGTCTTTGGCAATACTTCATGTGATCATGCCAATAAAGAGCACTTCAATTTGAATCTGAAATCTGAAGACCAAGTTTATGTACTTATTGTATTAACAAAACAAGTGACCTTCAGTGCAATCTTCCAAAATTGTAATTAGAACCTTCCTGATCACCTGAAAACAACCACTTGATTCTATCATCTGACAAAACTCCCAAACCTTAGCCTTATTTTCATTCAAAATAATTACAGGTCACACAGAAAAATGTGGAGAAAATCATAGTTTATTGTCTAGTGCAGGCCTAATTGGTATTCTGATGTGGATGTAAGCGCAAATAGAGTTGGGAGAATTCTACAAAGGTCTATGAATGCAAAGTAAGTAAAAGCTCAGAGACTCATTCAAGAGACCAAGTCCATTATAGAACCCTTGGCAAGAGGCTTTTTGAATAATGAAAAGAAACTATCACATTAATTTTTTTCTGTGGTCAAATACCCCAGCAGCAAGATCAAGAGGGGATATACATTTAATTCTAAATTAAGTGACACAGTGTCAACACCATTACAAAAATAATCAGAAACCTGAAAATTCAGATTCTCTAGGAAGAAGAAAAACAAGAGCACCTTTAGGTTTATAGTAAAATTAACATAAGTACTTTATTAATTGCCCCAACAATTGAAAGTAAAAATAATTTTGCATGGAAAAGTTATCATACAAAAATGTTTTTTGAAATAAAAGCATACCAAGTGCTGTTTAAATCCTAAAACCTAGCTCTATTACCTTGGCTGTCACATCAAAATGAAAAGTCTTCCCAACTCAGACACTAGGGGCTCGCAGTTCACATTTTACTCATATGTTCATATTCCCCTCAGACCTGCAGAAGTGTTAATCAAAATTCACTTTAATCAAGTAAACTGCTCAAAGCCTTATAATGAGAAAAGATTAAAATGTATTTAGAGAATAATACTTTAAATATTCCATAAAGAAAGCACTTTATTAACCAGGAATAGAACACGATTCCCTCGAAAACTTTACATTTCCCTGTGCAGTTCACATCTAGCTTTCAGTGCCAAAGTGGAGGGAGGTTCCAGTGCTTTAAATTTTAAACTCTTTCCTCTCAAGCCTTGGGTTGCACTTGTTCTGACAGGCTATAAGGAAGCATTTAATATACCAGTTCTTCTGCAATTTTCTCCAGTTAATCAATAACACCTGCAGAAAAAAATGTACCCGATATACAAGATACTGAATAACAATGGAACCCTAAACTTAACCTTTTTACCTATTTGACAAATATTTTTCATGTTGTAAAAGAAATTGGTAATTTGCTTTAAAAATGTGAATATAACTTTTCTGTAACTGGTGCACATGTAGTCTTTAAACTCTTGTCTTTCACGGAATCAGGAGCGTGTTTAATTCAATTATCTACATATCACTGGGAACAGTCTCTTTGACAACTTCTGATCTCCTAGTTTGAATTGCTATATGCAACCAGATGTACAATGCACATCATTCTACTGTCTATTTAGTTATTTGTAAGGCGGCTTAATCTTTCATTATCTAGGGCTTTGTAACCTTCTTTTTCAAAGTCTCAACTCGAGATGAGCCGTTTTTCTTTTCAGCAAAACCTAAAGGCACAACAGTTCACTCCAGAATATTGTGAAATGCCAACAAGCTTCAGAGGGTTTGTTGCAGAAATATTTGTGCTAAGTCACAGAACAGATATCCTTGCCATTCATGTTGCATATAAAATTAGGTTTACAAAACTCTACCACTATTACCACTGTTTTGTGGGTTTAAAGCCCTTTTTCAAGAACACAAATTCCACTTATCATTGTGAAGGACGTTTTTGTTAATTATTAAGCTGATGCACCAACCAAACATGCAATGACCAGGGTAAGCACTTATATTTTAGTTTCAGGGGTAATGACCAAATATTTTCACTACAGACCAAGACCTAAGTGAAAGGAACAGAGCCAAAATTGCTCTCAATTTACCACACGATCAAAGTACTTATTCTTAAAGCTTCAGAGGTCTCTGAAATGTATTGAGAATGTCAATTTGAAACATATCACTGGCCACTCAAAACAGCAGGCAACAGGGGTATGCCACATAACCATCTAGCACTGGTATAAATTACAAGAAATAAAAAAACATTAGCCAGGACCAAAAGTAGAGTGGACTGCAGAAATAACAGTAAGAAGAAAAGAAAAGCATTACTACTTACTGTGTAAGGTACTGCATGCTGTTCAATGTTAAATGGACAGATTATGTGAGTAATAATAATAATTTACTTTTTTCTTTCTACAGCAGCCTATATCAAAAGACAAATTGAATGTAATCTTTGGAATCTTCCATGAACAGGCTAGGTCAAGTTCTGGAATCGTTAGCTTTCAAAAATCCAGATGAGCAACAATCAGTTCCAATACTTCTCAATAGGAACCACCATGGACCAGCAGACTGAAAAAAAATGCCTTTGCTATCACGACCTTTATCGCCCATAGCTGAACCTTTCTAATATTTATTAGAAATGCTGGTACTGAATGAAGCCAAACAAAACTGAGAGGTAAGAAGAAAGATTTCTTCTTGGAATAACTGAATATTAACATTTCAGCTGGTGCAGATGCTCTTCTTTAGTGTAAACTCCATTAAGCAGTACACCTACACACATTTTAAAAATAGCAATGAAAGAATGGGAAGACAGGTGGTGAAATAACATGGACTGTCTGTAACCATGACATGAAAAGTAATAATATGTCAGTCACAAATTTATAAGTGAACCCACAGTTAAACTATAAGCTGTTGCACTTGCATTCAACACAAATAGCCTCTTTTAGCTCTGTTCTTTTCAATCCGTAATCTGATACTGCTTTAGACAAACTGTGTTCCCTTTGCATAGTGGTCAATGGAGTAGATGAGAAGAGCCCATAAAAATTGTCAAATAACATTGGTATTTACCCTAGTACACTGAAATTTTAACTGGTTTCATAAGGGTTGTTGTATAAATAAGATTTGTTTCCCTTTAGCATTCTACCTCTGATGCAACACAGCAGGTGAATATGCTGGAGTTGTTACGTTTTTCCCTTTTAAAGGAAAAAAAAAACAAAAACACATTATCACAAAGCAACCATTTTGTAATAATACTGATTAGTCAATTTGTTTAACAATAAAAGTGTTATGGGGAGTGTTGATACATACTAAGCAGCATAGAAACATATTTTTACAATCTAAAATTAATAACAATCCATCCATATTGGTGCACAGATATAGTGAAACAAACTGTAGTGAACAGTATAAGCAATTTGAAATCTGCTTATACTCCTGAACAAATAACAACATATTAAATGTGCAGGATCTATTATTTTCACCAACATAAAAGTTCAGTACGCACATTCCCAGATTTTTTACTACTGAAAAAGTTCATTTGCACAAATCCAGAATAAAAAAAAAACTCTTACATATGTATACCACAGTCATTCAAATGGTTCCCCATAACAGAAAAAAATGAAGGTAATGTATTAAACACCTCTTTATGACAGCAACATTCATCCTTTGATTACCAGTCCTTTTAATATCCATTTATTTAAAGAAAGTTCAACTGTTTTGATAATCTAACAAGGAATAACCAACATTTTACATTATGCACAAGTAGCACTAGCTGGCCAGTGGAGTTTTTTAGAGTCACGAACTCCATCTTATGTTTCAATGTTTATTAACGCATGTACATAGTATACGGAGTAAAAACAGGAACCTGAATATACATGGCACATATATCTAGATTTTAACACAGAAGGATTGTAAATTCACATTCATCTATTATTTCATTTCCAATTAATATACTTAGATGATTTAATGAATGAAGATCAAGATGTCACTGAGTGGGGAAAATACAGTATTTCCTTCAAGCTTTCTCAAAAAGAGGAACTACTGAACTTGCAGCGCCTGTGAGGCAGTTATTAAATCCCTCTTTTACAGAGTCTTCTCTAAAGGAAATTGAACTGAAAAGGCAAATCAATATCTAAACACAAACTGTGTCTTTACTTTCAGTCTTTTTGTTCAGCGTCATTGCCTACTATCCGTGCAATGCAACAGGCCATTTGTAAAGCATTTATCCCCGGAAATAAAATCAATTTACATTTCATTTTCTATGCAGTACATCTCAGAGTATACCTTACAATTTTCATCTGCTTTAAGGTTTATCTAAACTGGTGAAATATGTATTTATAACAACACATGCCATGCCACAATGGTTCTTCATTACTTCAGTTAAACTTGCCAGAGGATAAAATAGCAAATAAATTAAGCGACACTCTTTTTGCTTACCTTCCAAGCTCTTCTCCGATTTCATAATAATCTTCAACATTTTCCTGCTTAAAGGTGGTCATGGTGGTAGCCACTTCTGATCCTGGGATTCCCAAATCAGCACCCAGCGATTTCAGCAGCCCATCTCTTATCAGCCTCTTGACATTTCAAACCGACCCCCACTCATACTGGGTCTAGGAGAATAAGAATTGGTTTACAATATTTCAACCTCTTCTCACAGGTGGTACAGGGAATTTGTACAAACGGAAGACAGACGTGATTTTTAATGAACTACTCGAGCAACTTAATACATTCTATTAGAAGCGGGTTTTATTTTCTAAAACAGCAGTTTCTGCAGCCCACTAAAAACTGTGAAGGTAGACTCAATCGCCTTTTACACTTCTACTCCCCCCGTTGTTAGATTTTTTTTTCTGAATTATATTTACTCTTTCCATCCAGTACCGATGTCTCAAACGTCCACCTTTCGGAAAGACATCGTGTAACCCCGACCAGGAAGCTACATAAATTCCTCATTAAAAGCTTTGCGGTTGCTTGGAGAGCAGACCTTGGAGAGGAGCAGGGTACTCACATCCCTAGCGAAACACAAACGAATTGTTCGTTCTCTACAAAATCTCCCGAATACACAAGGGGGAACCAGGTGATTAAACCTCATACACAATCATCGGAAACATCGGTAACGTCATGAAAATGTATATGCATTTGTGTGTACACACCTCGTGCATTCAGCAATTTCAATTGAAGAACTCGGCTACGGCCTTATTTCTTCTCTTTATGTCCAGGAACTGCGGACAAATACATCTGAAAATCCAGCACCGGATAAAGACAAAAAAGAAGTACCTTTGAATCCAAACTGCCGTCAATTTCCAGGTAGCTGGTGTTCCCCGGAAACAAGGGTTGCAAAATGCGCGTTTTCCTAAGAAGACATTAAAAAGGAATGTTGCAGGAAATGGGAGGACTGTAACAATGTCTGTATTAATACTGTGGCGTTCGCTGCGTGTGTTCTATGTGTTACACACAGTACTGGTGTGTTTCGGTCTCAAGGAGGCAGCATAGTGCGGTAACCCAGGAGAAATCCACACTCGCCTAACCAATGAGAGAGCTGTAGTATTAACGCCAAGAAACGACCCTGACTTTTTATTAAAGCCCTCTGTCAAATTTTGAGACCTAAAGTGCGATAAGCCAGTGCATGAAAGGGAAAGATGAATCCCTCGGGTGTCTGGACATATAATAAACACATCTTTCCTTTCATGCGCTGGCTTATCGCACTTTAGGTCTCAAAATTTGACAGAGGGCTTTAATAAAAAGTTTGGATATGAATTTGAATTTCCGTATTCATTAACTTGTTACATTCTATATTTCAACATTCATATTTTGTGTGAATAATGAGATTAACACAGTTCCTCTTAGAAATGCTGGAGGTTTTTGTAAAGGTCGGTGATTTTGTTCCTAGTTTCCTTTAGGCACTGCATTAACAGGTTAAAAAAGGAGAAAGACATACCGACCAGTTTATGTAAGTCATTCGTGTGTGACGTATCCTCAGCAAAACCAAACCTGAAAAACATGTTTTTTGTTGTTATTGAATTTTTGTGTTGACTGAGTTCCCTGATGTGTGTTACAGCATATTGCTGATTTGACATACTGTTACATTATAATTAAAGTTTTCTACAATTTCTTTTAAGATCTTATTACTTATCAGTTACTTATGAATTTTTATAAACAAAATAAAATCTCTGATATTTCCAGAACTGAAACTCAAATTAAATGAAGAGGCAAGAACTGTCCAGGCATATTAACTTCCAAAGCTGACCACCAGAAATTGCTTATAATATCTTCATCAAAATAACCTACAACAAATTAGTATGATAAGTGGCTTTGATTTTTTTAAACTCAAAAGTCCTTTTCCTACTTTTGAATCTGCAGGGAAAAGACAAAATATAAATACTAATACTATAGGCAAGGAAGAATAGAAAGTAAAAACCAGTTCTCTCGGAAAATAAAGTAATGCAAACAGAATCCTTTTTTTAGTCTCCAGTTAAGAGACATGCAAAACAACAGGCAAAACTGCAAAACGTGTCCAAAAATAAGTCAACAAGGAAGATAAGAAAATAATTCTTACAGTTAGAGAGGAACTAAAACAGGTCTGACAAGATTTTTTTTCTGAAAACAGAACTAAAACTTTATATTGCAGGCGTCACAGGACAAGAGAGGATGTCAGTTTTATACCTGGTGTACTGACCTTTTTATAACAGACATGACAAAAGTAAAGGAACTAGTAAAGGTTTATTCCACTGCTGAAAATAAACATTGAGTCTCTTTTCTTTTCAGCGTGTAATAAATCCTTTGCAGCCTACACATGCTGATGCAGTTACCTACTTGAACTTAATGACACAGCTAAATACATTATACTGTACTTATTATCATTTGTCATCAGTAGGAGATCTGCTGTCTACTAGGCTAGTTTACAAAGTAGTCGTGTGTGGCCTACAACTGGAAACAATACAAGTTGTACATCTGTGACAAATCCTTTGCAACTGGTTGCAGATGCTGTCTTGAGGGATTCTGTTCCTTTCCTCTCATTGAACCTAGACAAGTATGTGCTCATTCAGTGCTCTATAATCTCTAGGTACCACATGTAATCCCAGCTCATCTCACTGCTCATGTTCAATGGGGGTGAAGTCTGTAGTCTCAACTTTCAAGAAAGCTGTGTAACACAAGCATCATGGGAATGTGCTCTATGCTGTTGGAATGTTGCCATGTGAGGATGAGACTGTAGGAAGGACAACAAGTGAGACTTGATCAATGTAGGGATGTGTGGTCAGGTTGCCACCAATCACTGTAAAAGGAGTTCAACTAGACAGTCCTGCCCAGACCTTCACACTTGGACTTCATAGGTAATAGCTATTGATGAGGTGGCATGACTCGTGGTCCCCCCGATTGTGGCCTGTCATTCATAGACTTCATCTTGAGGTTGGAAAATGCTGGCCCCAGCAAGTGACTGCCCAATCCAAGCTGTACACATCAATTCAGTCCAGCCACCAGCATATCATCCAGCATTTGTATGACTGGGTTTTATTTCATATGATCATGGTCGTTCGTTTCATTTGGTCGTTCTGCATAGTATTTTTAAAAATACTTCAAAAAATATTTTTTAAAGCATTTGCAATCTTTTTTTTTCTGGGCTATAGGATGATGATGATTGATGTTTTACTTAATGCTGCGGATTCTGCCATTCACATTTATTATGAATCTGTATATCATGTATCTCTAATTTCACATTTTTAATTTTCCTAAATAGTTGTTTTGCATGTCTCCATTAGCCCTAGTTTGAATTCTGAAATGGAAGGGTTGTCCAGCTATGCACAAGTTATGGGAAACCAAAGGTAGCTAGAAAGCACCAGTAAAAAGCTTGTTTAAAAGGACATATCAATTGATTTAAATTTGCAGTAGCTGATACATTCACTAATATTCTTAAATAATGTTTCAAGCAAAAGCTATATACCATAACAATGCAAGAACTACGAATAAAGTATTTTTCTCTCTTTTTTTTTACTTGGCATTTGGCATTGGGTTTTTCTTAAGGTTGTTTTATTCAAACCATAAAAAAGAATTAAATTAAATGTGACCCAAAAAGAAAGAATTCCATTTTTAGATCTTAGAAAGAAAGGTGTTTTCCCCCAATTAAGTACTGTTTGCCACATTCTGATGTGGTGCATATTTTAACTACTACTGTGAGAAGGGTTCGTAATATTCTCAGTAAGCTCACATGATAATGATACATTTTTTTATTTTGTGTGCTGAAGAGCTGGTCTATGAGAAATGTGCAGGGAAATTTAAACTGCTGTCAAAAGTAATATTTCCGGATTACACTGGTAAATATTACATCACCGTCTTGTAAAGGGGTTCAAACTCATGTAATATCCATGTCATTACATCATTACTCTGAAAGGCTGTAGTTGTTAGTGTCGTTCTTCTTAGTTCAGTTCATTTTCTTCTTGTTATTTCTGTCCAGTCAAACTGCTTCCTGAATTTGTATCCCAGCATAACCTGCATTCTTGATTTGCTATTTATTTTTCTGCTGGCACACTGTAGTTCTTTGTTTGCTCTTGTCATGTCAGCTGTGCACAAGGCTAATGTTGATAAAGATGATTCCAAAGTGTTTTTTTTTTTGTCTCTGTGACTATTTTAGTTATAGTCAATTCACAAAACATGGGTATTTTAATGTGATTTGTATTCTTAATTAAATCCTTAATCAAATGAAGCTTAATTTATACAAGTTAAACAGCATTAATCAGATACAGTATGTGGGCACTAAATCAGGGTTTGAGAAGGTGGTCAGAGGAGGATTTTGTAAATCATTTACCCATCTGATCAAACAGATCAGAATTTTAATATATTCTCCAATTAACAGAAGGGCTTTAGATATTTAGCATAGTAATGCACTTCATACAACATTTTAAAATCAAAAGCATTTTGTATTTTTATCACAGTTACCTCAGTTATTCTACAGCCTGTATTAGCAACAGTATGAACTAAAGAAATGTTGAGTTCTTTTCTTTTGCCATGTGCGTTTTGTAGAAATGTTTTTCTATGAACAAACAGAAAGCAGGACAAGGTTAATACAAGGAAATCAGTAACTTTAATATAAGGAAGTAACTTCAACCTGAGTTTACTGTGGAATGTATCAAGAAGGTAATCATGTTACTAAACATTTTCACCCTTCGAAAACAATACATAAGAAGAATGCTCATAAAATTGTAAGGTTTTGATAACAATTCAAACTTTCAGTTCTACCCTCAAACACAGTTTTGTGAAAATTAAAAGTCATTCATGTTTGTTTGTTTTTTCAAATAGATAGTTTTGTGATTGCAGGTAAGACTCAGTTGAGGACAATTTATTTCAACTAGGGAACTATGGGAAGGAATCTTTAGAACAGGCCAGATTTGGTAGAATCATATAAACTCAGGGTTGTTTTTTGTTTTTAAAAAATCTCAAAACCAATAAGACATCAAGTAATTCATTAATCTTTTGTATTTCATATATAAATGCTTATATCACATGCATAAGGAATAAAATGCAAGATCTTACAGCATTAGTTGTGATATTAAAGAAATAACTACAAAATGGCTAGGGAGGAGAATAACAGGGATAATTAAAAAATTATGGATATCAAGCATTTTTTTAAGGGCATGGTAGATAAAAGGGGTGACAGGCAGTGGGGGTGTGGGGTGGGGGGTCTATATATCAAGAACTAAACCAATGCTAGTATAAAGAGATAAAACTTCAGTCACAAACAATAATGCATCACATTAATCCAATGTTTCAAAATGTGTATGACAAACTTACAGAAGGAAATTTAAATAAGAAATAAGAAAAGAAGACATTTCCCTAAATGTTGTAGAAGTCTCTTCAAAGCTCCTTATACCCTGGGGTTCAGTTATTCAAGGAGAAACTGATTGGTAACGGCGGATGGTTGCTTACTCTTGTCTTCTGTTCTCTGCTTTTCTCTTTCTTACCAACTCATTCTCAAATCCTCACTTTCCTTATATTCTGTCTGCTTAAGTGAAGCACATGGTTAAATTAGCTACTGTTTACCTCTGGGGATTTCTAATTTACAGTTAAGCGAATAAGTAGCCCTTGATCAGACCAGGGCCAGTTACCTAGCTAGCCTCTACTGGCGGCAATGTCAGTACCTTTTATACAGACTGCACACTGAAGAATCAGACTGGGAGGAAGCTTCATATGTGACTTCAGTATGTGATACTAATTATTTTGAAGACCTCATGACTTACAGCAATATATTTTAAGATACATTAAAATGGCAACAGATGCT